CTCGATCTGGAACGGGGAGATCATGGGATGGCTCATGTTCGGAGGGACCGTGCCCAACCCGAGATTGATGTAGATGAATGCGGTGGAGTGTCCTTGGAACCAGCCCGGCTGGAAGGACACCGCGCCGCCGCCGACGGGCCATTTGGTTCGGTTCGTCGAGGTAGGCATGCCGCCGCCTGTGGGACAATGTCCCGTTAGCCGATGCGCCTTCAACCGATGATTAGGTTTTCCTACATGGATAGATCCATTGTTGCCCATAGGGATATATCATGGAGTGGTTGCTGGTGCTGTTCGGGCTCATCGCGGCGCCGAGTCCGTTCGCCTCTTCAACCGTCCCGTTGGTGTGTAGGTTATTCCCTCGATAGCCCGGATAGACGATGACCGTATGAGCCTGAGCCACGCCCACTCCCATGAGCAGGATGGCGATCCATTGCGATAATAATTGAGAGGTCTTCATGGTGTGCGAGATGACTAGTCTCCTGGGAGACTCTGGTGGTTGATAGGGGGGCCAAGAAAAGACACAAAGAAGTGATAACGACGCCGGAGCGCGAAGATACTCTTTCTATTTAGCCCTGATTCAGAGGATCACAGCCAACGTCAAACAGAAAGCGAACCGGTCAACGGTCTCTGAATGATCATCCTTGAAACAAGCTTTCACGACCTCTGGCAGGACGAGCGGGTAGACAAGACTTTTTGAGGGGTACAAGCCATGGTCTTAATCCTGCCGCAGCCCTCATGCTTTGTGCTGGTGGGGAGGAGAAGACTTGGGTCGGACGAGTGAGAGCCCAGAAAAGAGATGTGACCACACCTGCAGATAGGAGTGGTTCACATACTTTTGCCAAAGGCAGTTGAGAGCTACCGCAGGGTATTGGATGTCCGTGAGGAGAACGTCAAGCCGATCGACGCATGGGATTGGACCGAAGGGAGAATCCTAGATCCCAACTGCACGCAGAATCACTTTGACAAGGGGGCCGGGGCGTCGCTCTGGCCTCTGATTCGTGGAGACTCAGTGCTACAAGCGCCCCTAATTCGACGCTAATTCAGAGGCACATCACGAAAGCCGGGCGCTTAGCATGATCGTCTGAGCCATGGTTGGGAGCTTAGAACGAGTTTCTCAATGTGATGAAAATTTAGGATGATCGGGTGTGACCCTCTCATGCATCACGGCAGGAACCGTGAAATTTTTTAAACATATTGGAATCATGGAACGACAATCTGTTCGTCGAGAAGTGCCCCGACGAGAATGGCGTGGGAAAAAAAAAAAAAATAAATAAATAAAAAAAGACCATGCCAATCATCCATTGCACAAAACTATCTACATACGCCGATAAGCATCTCCACCGTCGCCGACTGAACATGGCGGATAGGATGATAACTTAGTAGTGTCTGCACCTTAACCACCCACTTGTCGATCCATCATCCGAGATACTAGTCCAAGGCCTGACAGTAGTTTTGCTCTATCCAGAATGGTGCTGGAATATATGAATCCAAGCTCCCTGGCGAAAAAGACCAGCCCAGCATCGATGGTGACGGTTGGATAAGGGCATCGGAGTAAATAAAGGGAAACAACAACGAATAGTCATTCAAGTAGACGTAGACACGGGACAGCCCCACGTGACTCAATGTCACATGGACATCCTCTGAAGGTGTGCTGACCTATCATTTGGCACGATTCCGCCCCCCATACCGCAGTCTCAGTTCCAATAAGTGTCCAGGAACGCATTTTGCTTTTAATATTGAATTGTGAAAAATACTGCCGCCTCTGTCCGCTTTTTCTTCGGGGCCCTTTTCCGCGCTCCACCGGCCGGTCTCGATCCCATTGATCGAGTCTCCGTCCCATGTCCTGCTAGGCAGTATCAGAGTCCCATCCGACGGGAAAAGACCGCGGCTGGAGTCCGTTGGAGCACCGGAGACACGTAGAATATATACAGTTGGGGAATGAGGGCTACACCGGGCGGAATGCGGCCGAAAATCCATGCGATAAGGGTTGATAAGAGGTATAATGATTGATCATTGAGGCCGGACATTACACAGGAACGATACAATGAAAAAAGAACCCCCCCGCAGAAAAAGACTTTTCTATTAACAGAATCCCCAACGCCAAACTCGCCAAGAGACAATGCAATCCCCCCCCCGATCTGTTCTAGGAATGGCTCTCCTGGAACTTGCGAATTCTCCGTCTCAGATCGCCCTCGGTCTGCTGCATCGGGTTCAGTTTGCGGTCGCGCACCATCGCCGGGATATTATCTCCGTGTCGCTCCAGGAGTCGAGTAATCCATTCCACTTCCCGCTGGCTCAGATGGCGCGGCTTCTTCGCTTTCACTCCCTGACCTTCCTGATCGGCTTGGCGTTCCAGCTGCTGCACAATCGTATTGCCCTGGTTCGACTTCGCCGACGCATCTTCCCGATCATCATCGGACAGGTCGTTTAACGGATCATTGAGCGGGTTGGACCGGCGAACCTGGCGGCCGGCGACTTCCATCGTATCCTGGTCATCGGGGCGAATGACGCGGAGGATCTTTCCGGTTTCGGGATCACGCTCGACCTTCGTTTCGCCCAGCGTAATGTTTTTGGTGGCAGCTTGTGCGCTGCTCTTGATGTGTAGCGAGTTCTCGGGGGCGTCCTCAAATCCGTCCTTCGTTTTGCGCCGTTCCGATCCTCCGGCCGGGGTGTTCAATTTGTGCACGAGTCCCAGGCGCTGGTAGTTTTGCGTCAAAGTCAGGTTTCGATCCCTACGGCGGTCTAAATTAGCCCTGCGCTTTTGTTCCTGGTCGGAGCCCAACGAACCAGTTTTCCGCGATGATCGCATTGCCCAGCATGTTAATTTTCTTCTTGCCACTTTTCAAGACGCCGGCTTTCTTGGGCTTCTGCTTTGGCAGAGAAGACCTCAGCTTGGCTTTCTGTCTCGGATTTCCCATTTTTGTAAGACGGTGAAGGTGCCTGGCTCAATCTTTATGGTAGTAGCAGTGACTCCGAAAGAAAATCTGCAGCGAGAAACTTTTAATTCAATGTACCCGAGACCCCATGTTTGCATCCTGCGCTTGGCATGTTTGACTACCATGTCACGGATGTATTACATAATCCCGCACTGCAATCAATGCAATCAGTGCAATCAATGCAATCCATGTGCCTGATATTCAGGGTCCGACGATCGGGCCTTTTCTATGCTTCCCCCGTACCCTTCTTTTCGCCCTATTCCTCCATCTTCTCCTACACCTCCTATAACCGCCAATGGCTCCCCGGTTCTCTCCCTCGCATCGGCTCGGTCTGGCGCTAAGTGCGGGTCTACTTTTGTTCAGCGCATTTGCGATTGCAAAGGAAGCTCTCCCGGTCGGAGAATGGTCGGTCGGTCAGATCGAGGATGAATTGCAGGTAAGCAATCATATCCCCCTTTACCTTGACGGTTCCATGTTGTACGATGGCCAAGGTCGATTACATCAATAATTCAGCGCATGAACTCTGCTTCAAATTCAATAAAACAACCAATCTAACAATCTATAGAATTGCCCGCTTGTCGAATCCCTCAACGAGCAGAAGCGTGCCAACAGCCCCCAAACGACCAGTCTGACCGCGAGAATCTTCTCCGTCCTCTTCCCCGGAAGTCCGGCCGTCAATGCAATCTTAGCTACGGCATACATCTCTGGTCCTCCGAGTAAGATCTAATCAATGTCGACGACTCCAGTGGGGAGAAAATTAAACCAAATCCAGACTTCCTGTTGGCACTATGCCCCCCCAACATCGATCCGTCCTCGCTCTCGGTCATGGTCGCTTTCGCGGTTGGCGGTCTGCTCGGGGATACGCTCTTCCACTTGCTCCCAGAGATCTTCCTCGGGGAGGATTCCCCCGACCACGTTCGGTTCGTGATGGTCGAACCGAATCGTAACCTGCTCCTGGGACTCGGAATCATGGTCGGATTCTTCACCTTTGTGGCCATGGACAAGACCCTCCGCATCGTCACCGGAGGCGAAGGGCATGACCACTCCCACGGCCACTCCCACTCCAGCGAAACAGGGACAACCACCGGTGTCTCCACATCCCAACCCTCCGCGGACCTCAAACGCCGCAAACCCACCTCTACCCCCGACCCCAAGGACCAGGAAAAAGAAAGAGAGCAGAAGGAAATCAACCCCAGTGTCAAACTCGGCGGCTACCTCAACCTCATTGCTGATTTTACCCACAACATCACCGACGGCCTGGCCATGTCTTCCTCCTTCTATGCATCGCCCACCATCGGGGCCACCACCACCGTCGCCGTCTTCTTCCACGAGATTCCCCACGAGGTCGGCGACTTTGCCCTTCTCGTGCAATCCGGCTTCTCCAAGCGCAAGGCCATGGCCGCCCAGTTCGTCACCGCTGTCGGTGCTTTCCTTGGTACCTTCATCGGCATCGCCGTACAGGAGCTCGGGGGATCCCATGGGGCAGAGGCGGGTGCGCTCGCGGCTGGGGCTGGACTCTGGGGCACCAGTTTGAGCTGGGGAGATATGTTGCTGCCATTTACCGCGGGGACCTTCCTTTACGTGGGGACGGTCAGTGTCATTCCGGAGTTGTTGGAGACCGGGAAGGACAAGGGAGTGGAAATCAAGAAGACCATTGTGCAGTTTTTGGCGGTGGCCGTTGGGGCGGGGATTATGCTATTGTAAGTTCAGTCCCTCATGCTTATCAGTGCTTATGAAATAGTTGAATATGTGCTAACGGTTTCAGGATCTCCTGGGATTGAATTCCGATTCTCTAGACGGTTGGATAAGCCGCACGTAATCCTTCCTTTGGTTGGTGCATACTCTGTATCATTGGTGCTGCAGATGAACCTGCGAGTAGGAGATCGAATCGAAAATCAGTAGAGTGTAATTAGATCTGAAATTATATGATAGCCATAGCTCCCTCCACGGGATGAGAGGCTACCTGTAGCTCTATCACAAACCCAGGCAACGCCCCATCTACCACGGAGAGGAATAGGATGGTGACATATCCAATAATGAAACAAAAATAAAAAAAAGGATCTTTCCCCCGAGCCGGAATCGAGCCGGCGACCTTTCGGTTCCATAGAGCGCTTCCATTACAGCCGAACGCCATATCCAACTAGACCATCGGGGGTTTAGATATGTCAAGCTTATCTTTATCTGCATTAAGGACAAGACATTTTGTTCCTTATGTCCAGCTGACATACAGACAGACAGGTCCCGAGTCAGCCGCCAACTTTATCTGTTGCTCTATTTGAGCATAGGATGTGTTGTTATGATCTTATTTATTCTAGATGCAAACTTGAATAGCCTCACAGAAGATGTCTGTCACATTTCCGTTCATTGACGAGGCCCTGGATGAGAGCCTGAAGATTGTCGACTTTGAATTTGCTGTCCTTGCCCTCCTTCCCTCGCTATATTATTACTATCTTTCTTTTGCTTATGAGAGACAGGTAGGATCATCACAAGAATAGTGTTACAGATATTATGACGCTCTACCTTTAATTGTATTGAAAGGAGTCCTGCTTATGTTGGAGGTTGAAGTCCGTCTTGCCCCATACCACCATCTAGACATTCATTTGCTGTTCTTTCAAGACACTTCTCCAAGAAATCAACGAACTTGTTTCCCCTTCACAATCTTTCCGCCAGGGTTCTTGAGCCAGATGTAAAAGTCATGCTTTATCCCTCGACCTTTCACAGTACTGCCAACCGGCTAGCTGGGTTATGAGATAAGGCATTGATAGCATATATCTTAACATGCGGTATATCGATAAGATAGATGCACTTAACCTCCGACTTTAACTCGTACACAAAGGTGTCTAGATAGAGTAAATCGGTAGCTGCTCAAGTGATGTAGTGTGCATCTTGCGCATTGTTTCCGCCGACCTCCTTGTCGTTATACCTTCACTCAGAGTATTTGTAGGAATCTGGAGTCCTGTTTTTCTTTTATCGCAAGCTTCTTCAGCTAAATAGGCATTTAAAGCAAAGTATTGAAATAGTAGGGTCGGTAGAATAGCTCAAGGGAATCTCGGATATTATAAAGGTATGTCGAGGATCCCATGCTCAGGCTTTGTTAGATGGATTTAACGAGTTACTACGCTGTTCCGAGTCGTAAGCTTCTCCTTCTCCAATGATCTCATTCAGAACAGATTCATTATCTGTGAGGCTGTGTCAGATCAGTGGTATGGCAATTCAAATGTTGATTAAACCATGTCTAGTTTATACTATCGGGGAAATACACTGCCAGATCCTTTGCCGCCATTACTTGGAAAGGTCAGGCTATCTATATCTCCTGAAATGAAGGACAAGCTGATCATGTAGAAGCATGCTGTATATATCACCAGCTCAATCCTTGCAAGTTCAACACTATGATATAATATAGAAAGAAACCTTAAAGCCTAGTACTAAACGCTTGTAGCCACACCTACAACACAATAACCCTAATTTTTAACGGATATCTCTACCTGAGCCATGGGTGATGATATAGTCAGATCATCCAAGATAATAAAGACTACAAAGCTTTAAAAGCTACCATCACATCTCAGATTATAATGAAATTCGCTCTATTTGACCCCATACTTAGGACTACTCATTATTAACCATACCTCACGGTTCATTTGGTTTATGTTTAGATAGCCAATTACTGCAGTACTCTATATCTCTAAACCCCCGATGGTCTAGTTGGATATGGCGTTCGGCTGTAATGGAAGTATTCTATGGAACCGAAAGGTCGCCGGCTCGATTCCGGCTCGGGGGAAGTGATACATTTTTGTTTTTGGATGTTCGGGATGCATTTACAGTAAGTGAATTGTCTTCTTGCTTTCTTCTGCTCCCAGAGACATATTGTGCAGGGGTTGGTTGCAGTGGCTGGCTTGTATGACCTAATTGTTGTGTGACTACATCTCATATTTCAATTTCCTGTGCAAAAGCAACTCTTCTCTGTTCTTTGCTTTCTCGTCAAGACTGCCGACACCATTCATTTGCCTTCCTTTATTGTTATCATGGATATTGACGAGGTAGAGTGGTGTTGATTGGAATCATTTGATCATGTCTGAATAAAGCCCAGGATCGATTAAGGATCATTCCAGTAACTCTGGACTAGAAATACTCAGAGTTAGTTGTACAGCTAAGCTCATAGGAGCTTCGCGAGTCAAGGACGACTGTGACGGCGGTATTGATATATACATACATGCTTTGACAGCCCAATAGAAAGGCACTAGATATGAAGAGAACGCAAAGAACAGAGGGCCAGATGCTGTGCCATTTTCTAAGCTGGATGTCTAGCTAGAATCCCCAACATGCATTATATACCGGACTTCAATCAGTGTGAAGAGATCTATAAGTAGTTACACCCGATTGAATGGTTGAGACAGCATGCATAGGGCTAGCCGCACCGTTCTCTACACACTCCAGCATTGAGGGACGATTCCGAAAAACAAAGGATTTGTTTCAGTACTACTTTGTTTTGAAGGACTACCAGATACTTTCAGTCGGTGCTGCAAAAGAACTATTTTACTCCCACCCAACCAATTGTATGCGTACTCGACATCCATGGTAAGTCTTCAACTAACAATTCTAGATCCGTGTAATCAAATAAATAAAGTTTGCCATCTCAAACCCCCGATGGTCTAGTTGGATATGGCGTTCGGCTGTAATGGAAGCATTCTATGGAACCGAAAGGTCGCCGGCTCGATTCCGGCTCGGGGGAAGGATATCTTTTTGCTTTTTTGGACTCCGATATCTAATCGTAATCATAGTACCTTGCTTGAAACATATGCCGAGACCTAAAGCCAATTAACCGTGTAGACCAATTATCCGTCCGACTCGGCGTCGGGTTGCCGGTTGTCCCTCGTCTCGTGTCTTCCCCGCGCTCGGGCCCGGTAGCCCTATCTCCCCCACGCTTCCCCGACACGGGGCACTGCCCCTCTATTGTGGATGTTTTAGATCCACAACAAGTATGTTTTTGTAGAAGGGGCATTTAAACCCCTCTCATGGGGCATATTCCGGGGTAAGCTGTGAACCAGCTGCTGTCTTTCCCCCTCCCTTAATAAAGCTCTCCAAATTGAACCCCGGAAGTCGGGACATATGAAACGCAATTCGCCGTGCAGCATCCTCGCAGAATGACTTCTCTCGCAACCAGAGCAATCCGAGCCTCGATATCCCGGAAATCAGCCAATCTACCCGGACAATCCATGTCTCGCACAGTGACCACCCGCGCAACATCTCACACGCTCAACACCGGCGCGAAGATCCCAGCGCTTGGCTTCGGCACATTCCAAGACTCCGAGTCCCAGGAGGAGACGGTAAGCCGGGCGCTGCAGAAGGGCATGCGCCTGATTGACACAGCGCGGGTTTACAACGTCGAAGAACAAGTCGGAAAGGGCGTCAAGAAGAGCGGTATTCCCCGCGAAGATATCTTCCTCGGCACTAAGCTGTGGTGCAATGATTACCATCCCGAGGATGTGGAGCGCGCAGTGGATGATTCCCTGCGGGACTTGGATACACCGTATGTTGATCTGCTGTTGATGCACTACCCGTGCACGTTTAAGCGAGGATCCGAGCGATTTCCTCGAGATGGCGAGGGTCGAATGCTTCATGGTGACACGACTTATGTGGATACTTGGAAGGCGATGGAGAGGTTGATCACGACCGGGAAGGTGAAAGCGATTGGGGTCTCGAATTTCTCTAAGAGTGAGATTGAGACTTTGATTCGCGAGTCTTCAACCGTGAGTGCTTTTACTTTCATTGGGTTGCGGATGATGAGACGCTAATATGTTGTTCAGGTCCCGGCTGTTCATCAAATGGAGGTCCATCCCTATTTACAACAGAAAGAATTCAACCGGTGGCTGCGGTCTAAGGGGATCCATGTAGTTCAGTTTAGTCCCCTGGGCAATATGAATGACTTCTACCGGCAGACTGGATGGTCCAAGGAGATTGCGCATATGATGCGGGTCATCGATCAGCCTGTTCTCAAGGAGATTGGGAAGAAGTACGGCAAGAGTCCTGTACAGGTGGTGCTTTCGTGGGGGATTAACAGCGGCCGTTCTGTCATCCCGAAGAGTGTTGTTGATTGGCAGGTTGATCAGAACTTGGAGGCCGATTTCGAGTTGGAGGCGGAGGACATGGCCCGGGTTGCGACTTTGGATGCGAAGGCTCGCTTCAATGATCCTAGTATGGACTATGAGTGGCGTTTGTATAGCGATTTGGAAGGTATTGATGGCACTGTGAGAGGAAGGACGCATTAAGTTTTTCAATGTTGGGAAGGATATATACTTGGATTTTATTTTCGTATCTACGTCCTGGAGTTAATAAGGAATAGAATCGTTTAAATAAAGACCAAGTCGAACAACGCATACTGCATTCGAACTGTGTTCGTTTTATCTGCATAGACTAGCCGAATCAGAGAATCTGGGGCTTGTTAAAATGCAAGAGGGCCTATGGCTTTATGCTAATGAACTGCATATCCCTACGGCCTCGAGATCGATTCACTATACTCAATCGACTAAGGGGTCCGTCTACGGTTGTCGCGTATAAACTGCACCGTGCTTTAGAGCTAGGATACCCAGTGAAAAATAACCCTACAAAACTAAATGATTGATTCTATATCTATACTTATTGTCAATCAAGGAAGCGAGAATCCACCATCAACCACCAAATTCGAACCCGTCATATAACTAGATGCATCCGAAGCACAGAAAAGGTAAACCTAGTCACACATCAGCACATACCAAAAACCGACACGCTGTAGTTCCTTACCCCCTTCAATTCATACGCGGAAGCGAACCGACGAGCAGGAATCTGACCCAGCCACGTCTCCCGCATATCCGTCGAAGCATACTCGGTCATATGAGTCTGAATATAACCGGGCGACACGCAGTTCACTCGGCAGAAATCCACCCATTCCACAGCGAGCGACTTGGTGAGCTGCAGGACTCCCGCTTTGGACGCATCATACTGTGACCAAACATTAGTCCCAATGTCCTTAATATACGCACACTAAGAACAAGTAAAAAGGGACCTACCGCCGCCTGTCGTTGGGGTGTGTTCACTAGTGTGGCGCTGACGGAGGCCGTGAGCACTACATTGCCGAAGCCCTGTCGCTTGAAGATCCTGGCAGCGGCCTGTGCGGTATAG